TTATAATTTTATTTATATATTAATTGGTAATTTCTGATTACAAATTATAAGTTTTGTAGCAATCTGATAACGTTTTCATGTTTAAAAAGAAATTTTTCTATGATACTGCAGACCTACGGCAGCATGAATAGTAGGCACTTCTATCACAATTATCCACAATCCTTTCTTTTAGTGTTTTGTAACAGAAACATTGAGACATCTCAGCCAAATATTTTACTATCTAGTGAAATATTTACTAGATGTTTTTCATTGTATTTATAAAAGCGTTGGGTATAATTATCAATATAGGTTAAAAAGTGTTTTATTTTATTTTTAATTTATTTTACAAGAATTAAAATTATTTTTTGTTTATTTTTAAACTACCATAAAATGCAAAATAATTCTCCTTAATATAAAAAAATACCTAGAATTTCAGTCAGCTGTTACAGGAACAAAATGACATCCAGTAAAAAAATTTATCAATCACTTTAGGAATATATAAAATTTTCAAAACTGTTACATTTTACTGCATAAACATAAATAAAATAGTATGCATAGTATATTAAATGGCTATAATGATGAAAACTATACTCTTTAAACCCTATCAATGTAATAAACATGTTAAAAAACAAATTAACCCAAAAATAAAATATAAAATATGTCTGAAGCCTGGACCCACTTGATGACATGACATTTTTGTAAATATAGAAACGATATTAGCACTGATATGGTACCACTTTGGTAACATTAATATTGTTGATTCGAATGACTGGTTTCCAAATAGAGCTATCGTTGAATAAATATTAACAAGCCTTAATTATTGTCATATTATTTTTACTAAACACATTACAAAACTTATTGTAAAGCGTCAAGTACAATAATTTGTATAATGATATCATATTAGCACCATGCCACACATTACCAAGCAATAAATACTTTGCATTAGCTTACAACAATTTTAAACGTAGATAATGGATATACAGGTTCAAAAGAGGTAGGGACATTGTTTTCATTACGATTTTTTGGGTCAAAATAAAAAAAATTGAATACAATTTTTTTCCTAAATTACTTCGTTAACCAGATATCTGACATTTCCATTTTTACATACAAATTTTTATCTTTGAATTGATCCAACCGATCCTTATTAAACTTGGTATGTATGTTAAGGTTGAAAATAAGGCAATTCTGACTGGCTAAGGTCCATTCAACATCATTTTACGACCAAAAATCGTAATTTTTAAGCTATTTTGTAATCATTTTTTTATCTTGGTTTCGTTGCATAATGCCTAGGGCTTTTTAAATACTAAATAAAAGTGACCTTGAAATCTGAATAATCCCTGAAAATAAAATCATATAATTTATTTTTACATTCTGAATTTAATCAAGGTTAAATTTCTTCTAACATGAGTCGTTTCTACCTTAACATACATACCAAGATCCGTTAGATCAAAGATAAAAATGCTTACGTAAAAAAATACAATATAGCGGATTTCTAGTTAAAGAACAGGCTTCAGAAAAAAAATTTATTTTAGATTTTCTCTTTAATTTGACACCCGAAATCACTACGGTAAATATTTCTGTACATTTTTTGAACACCTGTATAAAAGTAAACAATTTATTAGACTAATTCCCTTCAACTATTGGTTCTGTACAGCTAAGAGAAGAATGTATTGCAGAACTAGGAGGTGTCAGACATGTTATAACCTTTATCTTTAAATCTGTTTGTGGAGCGTGTGTGCTCGTGGCAATTGACAGGTCTTAACTAGTTCAAAGCATCTTTCCTTTTCTGAAGGCAAAGCTTGGCAAAGCCTTGGTTTTATCGTTTTTTTTTATTTCAAAGAACTTTTTATTCAATTCACTTTATGAGGAAGTAATTGTATAATATCATCATCATATAGGCCCTATATTAAAACGTGACAGGGGTTTTTTTATTTCACGATTCTGAATTAACCACTTGACGGATTTTCATGATCTTTGCGTTGAAAGACAGAGATAATTTTGAGAACTAGGGAATATTGAAACCATAATTTCAGTTTAGGGTTTCAGGTTTTAAATAATTAAGTTTTAATTTTTTGTCTAGCAGCTGACGCTAACATTCTACACTATAGCTTTTGGCATAATATCATTTGCTCAACGTAACAGCTGTAAACATTCAGCGTATGTGACACAAATTTCGCATTTGGATAAAATGATACGAAAGTATGACTTATTTCAACTTTTGTATGTGTAATGTTATAATATGTGTAATGTTATAATAATTGATACGTTTACTTATTCGTTAATAGGATGACATATTAATTATTTAAATATACATAGTAAAACTTTGGATAGTCTAATTTATTTTTTAGAGCAGTCTATAAAATCTTAAGTTTGTTTTAGTGCAATATATTTTTTGCTAACTAACACCTGGTTGAAAATACAAATATTATATATAATCATGAGATTAGTTTATTATTTACTCGGAAATAAGTAAGATTCTATAACCATTGCTGTATAAAATCGAGGCTCTCATTTTATGTTTACTAGACTGTGTTGCTGTTTAAAAGATGATTTCACCCATTTAAATTGCAGAACTACATTAAATTATCTCTTATGAATGTTTGAGCAATGAAGGATTATGTTGATATTCTATCTGACTAAATGTTCAATGTAAAACTCAAATAGTTAACCATGTGTGGTTATTTTTTGTGGGTTAACCATCTTGGATATTTCCTATGTGTAGAAAACATTCAAACAATCATGTCCACAGTTATGCGCTTAGTTCATGTTAGTAGATATACAGTATATCCACCTCGACCATCTATGAGTCGGTTGGGAATGGATTACTGTGTTTACATTTTAAGACACGCGCAGGTGCGACTATTGGCAATCAGGTCCAGCAGAACACACAAACACTTTCTCGGTTCCCTTGGCAACTGGGGAAAGTAGATTTTCAAAACATGCAACAGTGCAACGCAATTTAATATAAATTGAAACCTCTTAGCAGATTTCCCTATAGCGAAGCATCTATATGTTCTTAATGATGTAACCTAGTTATCACTGTGCCAGGACATTAAAAAGCACCATGCGTTTAAAATTCGTTTGTGTATATGTTACAGGCAAAGTTTATAATGCAGAATGACTGGGAATTCTATAGAATGCCTGAAGCTCTTAGGGAAAGTAGTAAATAGAATAATAACGGTAGGATTTTATAATCTTTGACTAGGCATTGTATATAATGCATCGTCATTTTAAAGAATGCTCGTAGGTGTGTCAGGTAAAGTATAATTTAAATATATTTGTTAAAAAACATTTATTTTACTGGATTGATTTATTTTGCACATGGTTGGTTCAGGTTTGTTAATTTGACTTTATTTTACATTAGTAAAATAAAAATAAAAATAAAATAATTTAAGTTTTGGCTAGTACCAAAAAAGGAAAAATATGTCTAAAAAATCCTTTAGAATAATGAAATATTGTGTATATGGATAGGTTAGGTTAGATTATTTTACATTCGATAAATTAATGCCAAATAATTGTACAAAAGTCTAAGAAAGACCAACCACAATGGATTTAATACTTTTCTTATAGTGCCGACAGGCATTCTATAGAATATGACTAGGCAAAGTATAATGAGCTCCATTTCATACTCTGCTTGGTGCATTTTAGTCATTGCATAGAATGACTAGGCATTCTATTGAATGCCTGATTATATTCTTTTTCTGTAATATATTTTATATTATAATTATAATGATATGTTAGTGTATGTAATAATATGTTAGTTATATATATTATATTATTATTTAAATTATAACTAAGTTCATATATAACTAACAGATTTCCAACATTCTAATAAGCTTACAAACAAATTCGCCTTGATTATGGAATTAATGGTTCATAGATAATTATACGGTTACAGTTGTTAAATAAATTATTACAATACTATTCCTATAAACGCATATGCACTTTTAAATATTAAAAGTACGAAGCATTTTTTCCCATTCTTTACTAGTTATAGATGAATTATTTGCTTTTCTTTAATACAGATTCTAAACATTTTTCCAGTTTATTTATTTTATTGTTGGCTTAATTCAAAACAAGAAGTTAGTAGGTAGTTTCGCTAAATTAGTTACGAATCCCGTTCACAACCTTCTTAAAAGCTGTTGTTAAACTTTATTACAGTATTTGAATTCTTAATGCAAAGTTTCAAAAAGCAAACGTGTATTAGGTCAAAAATAATTCTTCAAAGTCAAAGATTAAAATCTCAAGTCGTATCAACGTTGTGGCTCCAGAATTTATGAAACTCCTAAACTGTTCTGATTTATTACCAGCGGAAGCGGTGTTTCAGACTCATTCAATCTGAAAAAGTCATCTGAAGAAGAGTTATAAGCTTGTTTAAGACAAGGTTAAGACTTCAAGGTCTCTTTCACATAGTAAATATTTCAAGGAACCTTCGTTCTATTAATAAAATACTTCGTTACGCCATATGCTTTTAGTAGGTAATGAATCTTAATTGCTTATAGGCCTACAAAGAGAGATTTAATTACCAAATAATATTAGAAAGTGAGTTTAATTTTATTTGGTCGCTTTAACTGATATATCGACCTAAGGAGTAATTGTGTCATTGCATCAAAAATAAAGTTTTTTTTTTTGCTGGATTAGAACCAATTTCCTGCATTGGATTTGGGTTTAGAGCAATTTGGTAATGAAGTATTAGGTTTTTGTTCACCATTGTACAAAACCAATCTTTTTACCTCATTATGCATTACTTTAGTTTTTTTACTTAGTATGAAACCAATACATTCGCTGGTCACTTATATTTCCATTTAGCCAAACACAAATATTTCCAAATATTTCAAAATATCAAAAAGGTGTACTTTTCATCTGTGATCGTACAAACCTAAATACCTGAATGTTTAAACCCATTGTTCAAAAAATGGCTTAGTTAGTTCAAATTTTTATTTTAGCTTTACCAAATTTTGTATTACCTTTACTCCTTTACAAAATTGTAGCGAAAACTTAATATTTGATTTTTGTTTCAGACAGAACCTGGGATGGATTCAATCGATAGCGACACGTGTGTGTTAACCTTCCCCAATGGCTGAGGTCCCGATTGCAGTGTTTCTGTTGGGAAACAGCACAAATATAACATCATCTTTACCAAGGTAAGAATAATCATAGTAGAATAAGTAATAATATAAGGTTAACTCTGCAAATTACTTTTAAAACAACCAGATAGGATCTTTTAATAGATAATATCATAATTTTCCAAACAAAATCCTAAATTCATTGGTTTTGTGAAAGCTGTATACAGTAGTAAGAATTGCAATACTGAAGAGATTGACGCTGGTAGTACACTGTTTTACTAAAAAATATTAAGGTTAATAGAATTAAATTTTATTCGATGAATTTGGAGTTTGACACAGTGTTTTACGTTGAATAAACAAATGAAATTGCTCTGTTTTATTAGATTATGGCATTGAAAATACTTTAAATTAAGACTATTTTCCTGATTTATACAATAAACGCGTTAGTACTAATAACCAAGCCATTTAAATAAAACACAAGCTGAGATGGAAAATCACGTGAAGCTGCAATCTATCCTTGCCAAAGTTTCCTGAACCAGTTTACAAAGTGAACCGAACACATTTTTCTTTAACAACTTTTAACAGGTGTAACTTAATCTATATTCCTTTTTACTCGGCAATTTAAATAGTTTAAGTTAATCTGAAGTTAAATATTATTTAAACTAACAGTATGGTAAAGATAACATGTATAGGGTAGCTCAATAATTTTCTACAGGTAAGAAAAAAAAACAATTAGTATGTATTGTCGTAGCTTTACGTAATCATTCTGTTTGGGCACAGATTGTTTTTCTTTCTTTTTAAATTCTATTAGAGTCTTTATACTTACCAGTAAAGCAAAGTTGGCCATCATCATAAAGTGCAAGGAAAACAACGCTTTTAGGGGCGTTGCACTAAACATCCACTAAACTCGTTTAGAGCTTCGAGTTCTAGTTTCACTTAACAGCTGTGAGTAAATGACTAAACGTTTAAGATGATTAGAGATTCGCTTCCCTTTAACTTTACAATCCAACATTACCATGCCCGATTGATGGTTGAATTAACGTCAAATGACTTCGAACCAAAGTGTTTAAATTTGAAATAGTTAGTGTTGTTACTTTGTATTAAATGACGATTGATTTAAAAGATAATACCAGAATAAGAAAGGTCAATAATTCTAGGGAAAATGTTGCTTTGGGCTTCAATGTTATACTAATAATATCATCTACTACCTATTGACAGGGAAAGTACTCATGCAGTCAGGGATTCATTTTCAACTCAGAAATCTGTTTTTTTTTATGTTTACACCTTTGTGTAATTAGGGAAGTGTTCACAATTTTCTTGTTACTGTTTTTTGGCCGATTAAATATTGCATTGCTTTATTGATTCTTTAAAAATGGAATACATTTTATAACTTAAAAACGTATCCTGTCTGCTTAATACACCAGACATATTGTTCTAGATAAGTTGTTTTAGTTTGAACTAAAATGTTAAGTATTGACAGAAATAGTTTAAACGGTAAAAAAGTAAAAGTAATACTGTAAATTACGAACAGTGATTTGCAATAATGTTAACGTAGATAGAACAGCAAAGAGGAAAAATATAATCATAATATGTTGAGTGTAAAGTTGAAATGGCAATGAGTTTCTTTGTAAACGTGTTCAATCTCACAGGTGGATGCCGCCAAGAGTTCTAAAGGAAAATTCATGTTGCAAACATTTTGACGATTTACAAGAATATCTTTGGCATAGTTATCTATGTAACAATTTGTAGTAAATGCTGACATTATTATTTGTAATTTTCATTCAGTATTTCTTTATTCTGTTTGTTCATTATTAACCTTCTCGGTCTTAAATGTGTCATAAATAATTAATTGGTAATACAAAAGGTTTAAAGTATAAATTTAAGGATATTATAATTTTCAAGTACAAAAGGGTAATTTTGCTTTAGTAAACCTTAATGTAATCGAGATTGGAGAGTTAAATTTGAATTTTAAATGCCGTCTCCACATCACCATAAAAACGTAATCCAGAGCCCATTTTTTATTAACAAAATTGGATAATTTAAAGTATATGAATACATGGAATATAAAAATCACATACCTAAGGGAAATGTGTGTATTTTGCGTTGTAATAACGTGTTTTTATAACAATGTGTTACCAAATATACTTCAATTTAAAATAACTTAATAAAATACTAATGAATGTAGGTTGTCAAACTAAAGAACCAAATACCATTATGTGTCTGGACAATGGAAACCCAATATTTTTCTAATTTACGGTTTAAACTCATGAGATTCTCGAAAAAATATACATTAATTTCTAAATAGTTGACTTCATTAGAATGTAAGCCTAATCCATTCATTTTTCGTGGAAGCGTGTTTTAAATGCGTGAATTAAATCTGATAAGTATGTATGTTCTATATTTTATGAAAAAATTATTAATATTAGGTTTCCATAGTAAGTGCCTCAGAAAATGTTTTATTACTTGTAAATATTGTTTTGTGTGTTTTATTTTTATCTAATATGTGTTTTTACTGTACACAAATGTCCTAGAATACAGCACTTATTTCTTTCTTTGTTATGTACAATTAAAACCCAATGACCTGGCATGACGCTGTCATTCCCTACATTATGTTTTTCACGAAAAATTGCGGTTTCAATATTCCAACAAAAGATGTTATTACCTCTCAACTTAACGAACCTTAATCCTCTCGAATCTCAGATCAGCGTGTCACACGAATTCTGCAGCCCTATTTATATCTCAGCGACGTTACTTTCCCGCTCTATTGTATACTCAGTGGGGGGCGAGCTGGTCTAGTGGTAGAGCGTTGGGCTTCGGTGTCCGAGGTCCTGAGTTCAAATTCCGCCAATCACTAATGGATTTTATCCACGTGGTAATGTCGAAACCCTCTAAGACTAGCCTTAAGTGGTTACAGCAGTTCCGGGATAGATATAGCGTCCCAAGATGTGAAGGTGGGACAAAAATGTTATATTCAGTAAATCTTCCTGTAATAAGTTAGAGCCAAAGCTACGACCATTGTCTTACTATTTCACAATCATCTATCAGTAATATTAAGGTTAAAATATATATTTTTAGCATCCCAATTTCACATCAATGATATAGTCATATTTTTCCAGTCACTCAGCAACAGGCAGGGAGTCCACCGAAGGAGGGGGGACCCAGAACCTGTGGGGCCCCAAGCGGGACCCACTGTGGGTAGTGGTGCCTGTGACAGTATATTACGTCATCATCTTCATCAGTGGCGTAGTCGGCAATGTCAGCACATGTGTCGTCATCGCTCGTAGTAAACACATGCACACCGCCACCAACTACTATCTGTTCAGCCTGGCTATCTCGGACCTACTACTGCTGTTGTCTGGTCTACCACCAGAGATGTATCACATTTGGTCCAAGTAAGCATTTTAAAAGCTGGTTATAAATGAAATAAGACCGTTAAACAATCTTGATTAATAAGTAATGAAGAGTCATTTTGTGATTCGTTAACGAATTTGTTGTAACTTAATGTTATTCCACGCACAATCATTAACCAAGAGTTTTCAGTATCAAGGGTTTAAGCATTTTTTTTTTAGATTGGCCTAGCTATTTTTAAAGACTATTTATTTTACTGTAGGCCTTCAGCATGCGAATTTGAGCTAATTTAAAAGAATTTTCCGATCTTATAGATTCAAATCTAAGTAGTAATTAAATTAATTACTTATGTTATGTGTAGGTTTCACAAATAGGCTACATGAGTGAATTCACCTTATTACAAAAACATTACCAAATCCGCTAATGTATCTAATAATGTACCCAGCAATGCTTTAATACTGTGTCTGTGCTATTTTTATGAGAAGTAGTTTTATTGTTTAGCAACCTGTTGAAACAAATAAAAAACTAAAACACCAACTAGTATTACTTCCTTAAGTAATTACTAGGTAGTTTAAGTTGATGGACTTAACATAAAATTATACATTCAAAAGTACGTTCCCCCCAACCACCTTCTGATATATTTCTTCCATCCAATACATTTACACGTTCCAGCTACCCGTACGTGTTTGGCGAGACGTTCTGTGTGCTGACGGGGTTCGCCTCGGAAACCTCCACCAACGCGACTGTCCTCACCATCACCGCCTTCACTGTAGAGCGATACGTGGCCATCTGCCATCCCTTCCTGTCTCACACGGTCAGCAAACTGTCCAGAGCCGTCAAGTTCATCATGGCCATCTGGATCTTCTCGATGCTCCTTGCTGTGCCTCAGGTATGCATCTGTAAAAACAACTCCTTAATTAGACCGAATAGTCGAATAAAATGAAACTGTTATAACCTAACCTAACCTAACCTAACATGCTCATAAAGAAAAAAAACTATTGAAGGATTACTAATTGAATCGGTATTAGGACAGCACTGACCATACATCTTATGAACAACACGGCAAAAAATAGGACGGCACTGGCTCCACTTCCCTGAAAAAAAAAAAACACGGACAGAAAAAAAAGATATTATGGTACTTATGGCCGGTGCTACTATAAATTAAATACATCTTCTGACACGGCTCAATAGATTGGAAAGATATCGTGAAGTTTACAAGACAATCATGTAAATGTTTATCCCAAATTTGGCAAAACAGACAGGCATTGACAGTAGTAGTTGAAAATCACTAGGCCCAACTCGGTACTAGAAATAAAGTGGCGTTTCGACTAAAAATATAATTGGTCACAGATAGTTTCGATTACGATTGAATTAGGGTTTACCGCAGTAAAAAATTGCAGCTCAGATTAAATATATGCCCCTCCATTACTTAAGTATGGCTCGGATAAGTGTTTTCCTGGAACATGTTTCAATCCAGAATTACGTATCATAACTCCCTTAAAACAGATTTCATTTGAGTGATTGTAGAGAGATGTAAAATTAAGTTGACACGTTGCTTTTGTCATAAAATATCATGCTTTATGGTTTTGGTCATTAATTTCCCATAGTAAAAGTTGTACGTTTAAAAGTTAAAGTTACCAGATGAAACACTGTATGGAAAAGAAGTTGACTTAAAGAACACCTTCTTCTCAAACAAAATTGAATTAGCACGTTATTATACCTACATCTTTGGGAAGCCATATTGCACACCCAAGTAAGATATAGCTCACAAGGAACCCTAACATGTATACATTACTCAAGAATCACGGCTTCCTGAAGACGAATCTGATTTGCGATATGGGTTTTATCAGTCAGATCTTAATGAAGACCTTCAGATTCTTGAGCGTGTAAAGGGATGCCGTAAAAGATAATGTAAGTGTTCAGAGACTCAGAACCAACTGTAGAAGTTAGAGTGCATTTGAATACTAATGTAATGAATGCAGATGAAGAGTACATTCTCATAGTTTCCTCTGGAACAGATTTTATGTCTTTGTAATTGTGTTGACGAGGCGAATTTAAATATGTGCTCTAATTAAGCTTCACAATCCTGCAAAAAATTTAGTTACAGTTAAGATACATCATATTCCTGTGAAACTAAAAGAGGTTAGTGATAGTTTATTTTTTATTCATCAAACAATCTTTACGTGGTCCTACGAAATCAAACAAAGATTAAAAACAAATTAAAAATTAGAATTATTTTATGTTTTTGGCTATTGTAAGCTGATGAATGTAAAACTATATAATATTATGCATTTTATACACATTAAGTTTGCACCACTGAAGCCTATAAAGTTAAAGTATACAGTTTAATAATAATAGTCATTAATTATATTTTTTATAGTTCCTTGACTTCTTTTATAATAAAAATGTCTTCATAATCTAATGTAGGTAAAGGTTTCATCAAAAGAAATCTGATGGATAACTAAACTAATACGCTAACGAAGATTCGTTGATGTGTAACAACATAGTTATCGTTAATAATTATATAGTTATAGTTTTCTCTGTTTATAGTACTGTTATTTTTTCATTTCTCGTAACATTTTTGGTAGATTCTATTTATTTATTTTTACGTTTTAACAAGATGCAAGCTTTGGCAATGATTCGAGGTAGGGTAGCCTATTTTGAAATTGTTTGTTATGAAAACTAATATTTACTTTTCCAACACATGTTTGAGCCTGTGCTGGACTACGAATGCTATCAAATGTACCAAATATTAATCAAATTGAGTCTTAATGATATCTTATATGGTTTTTATTCTTGATAATAAACAAACAAAATAACACCAAAACGATGAAAGACGAGTTATTATCGAAGTAAAACAGTGCTATGTGATAGTAGAATTAAATTATAGTAGCAAATATTTAGTTTTTACCGGATATAATCTATCGTTTACTTTTGAAAGAACAACATTGTAGTCAAATTAGTTTAAGGGGTTGAACTTAAAGATTTTATATTTTTGTCTACAAAAATAAACCACGTAAATAGATTAATACTACACCAATTAAAACTAAAGAAACTCTCAATTTAAAATGTGAACTACCATAAAACACTACTAAAAACAGTGCAGTGCTATTTCACCGATGTATGGTTGGATCAATGGTGCTCATCTACAACATGCTGAACTTTGTTTGCAGGCTATCCAGATGGGCCTGGTCTACCTGAGAGACGAGGATGGCCACATAGTCAGTGAAGAGTACACCTCGTGCACCATCAAACACTCCATCATCCCCTACTCCTTCTTCATCTCCACCGTCCTGTTCTTCCTGACGCCGATGACACTGATCACCGTGTTGTACGTGCTGATAGGAGTCCGTCTGCACAGCTCCAACCAGATCACCCACGACAGCTCCCAGCGACGTCGCAGAACTCTGGTGGTTGACAAGGAGACCCATGTCATCGTGAGGGGCAGCCAACGCAACGGGCAGCACTCCAAGAGCACCAAGAGAGTAGTCAAAATGCTAGGTTAGTGTATCTTAATGAATCAATGGTCGATACCGTGACTATATTAATTTTTGTGCTATTTCCACGCTGAGGAGCAATTATTTATGTAAGTCCACCTTATGGCTGCCAGAAACTTGAAGTAACATATGAAGGCTGATGTGCATTTCCACTTGGCAACTTATCGTACTTAAAGAATCAGAAAGTGGTCATCTTCAAAAATCTATCGGTTGACCCAACATTGTGATATATTATAAAGGTAAACGTGGTCAATGTTATTATCGTAAAGATTATACTTGTAACTTATACCTGGTAGTAATATTTTTAGCACGCAAAAAGACAACTTTAGAATTATATAATCCATGTTGCAAATATAATTAGATGCCTGCACTATATATTTAAAAAAATTGAATAACTGAAATCTAAATAGCAACAACTGGAAAATATAATGAGTGGCAATAAGTATTAACTGGGAAACGATTCTCTTACGTAGCTTGGCCTTACTTGTTTTTGAGAAAAATAATGGGAAGAAGCGGCCTATTTTAAATCTGGAGTTTACATAAACTTAGTTAATATTTATATTTTTAAACGTATACCAATTTTAATATACGAAAAATTATCCTACATTGTATTACGGTATTTGATCAGGTTCAAGAACAACTTATTGAGTATTCATTATTCGTAAGCAATACCAAGAACACTACACACTCCCAGCATCAGCAAAAGATTTCAGTTGATCAAAACTCACCAAGGTCAAAAAATAAATGTTCACAGCCAGTAAAACATCCTAGTTGACAGTTTGTGTGACATAATGTTTTGCCACAAGACGACAGCGAAGTAGTTACTCACCAGTTGGTGTGGTTCCAGCCCTCAGTCTGTGTCATCAGCCCACAGCATAAGCTTCTTGTTGACGATACGAGTTCAAACAGCTACGTCATCTTGTGGGGATAAATAAATTAGATAATTACTTCCGGAATTGTGAACAAACCTCGGCAGTAGTATGTCATATTTTGTTCGAAATACCTTTTTAGTATCCTGCCTAACATAATACTAATTCAAGCATGTTAGTACTACTGACTGGTAGCCCATGTTTTTAAGAGCAGCATTGAACCATCAACTGCAGATGTAATGAACACGAGAAAAACATTTACAATGTCAGTAAAATGTTTTGATTTATCGTCATGTTTAAAAGCAACATGGCGATAATTAATTAAGAACAACGTTCTAGTCAGATGTCTTTAATGGGTCGGAGTATTGTTGACTGCTTATATTGTTTTTTGGATTTTTAAATTTTTTTTACCAATCCAAATAAAAAAAAGTAAAAAAAGTAAGATATAAAGATACTGTAGATGCGAAATAAATGAGAAGATAGTAAAATCAATTTATTGTTATCACAACGAAAACCTTAAACTATTATAATCCCTAGCAATGGTTGCAAATGCAATCGTTTTCTCTTCTTTATAATGCGTTTTATGACTTTTATAATTAGATAAATACTATTGAAAGGTTAACTAAACAAGTAGGTTTATAATCTTGCATCACTCAATTTCTATTTTTAATGCAACAGTTTATTCTGGAGACATGCTTTTATTTTCTGTAGTTTCCGCTCTTTTGGGTCTGCTGTCAGTTTGTTGATGTCATGCAATATTTGTATACAGTGGCTGTTGAGTGCGTTCTTCATCTGCTGGGCACCATTCCAAGTGCAGAGACTGTACGCCATACGAGAGGAGACACCACAGCTTCCGAGATCCTCGTCTATAAGATAATGTCTGTAGCTATCATGATGTTTATTCACAGTGGCAGTGGTAGTGGCTTTTTTCATCTGCTGGGCACCATTCCAAGTGCAGCGACTGTACGCCATCTACGGGTTTGCGGGAGAAGATACCACAGCCACCGAGATCCTCGTATATAAGATAATGTCTGTAGCTATCATGATATGTTTATTCACAGTGGCAGTGGTAGTGGCTTTTTTCATCTGCTGGGCACCATTCCAAGTGCAGCGACTTTACGCCATCTACGGGTTTGCGGGAGAAGACACCACAGCCACCGAGATCCTCGTCTATAAGATCATGACCTACGCCAGTGGCCTCCTGTATTACCTCTCCACAACTATAAATCCCATTCTCTACAACATAATGTCGCTCAAGTTCCGTCAAGCTTTCAAGGTCAGTCTGTTAAAATGTCATAGGGTATTGTGTTGGAATGTCGAGGCCTTTACACGATTTTAAAAATTGAATTGTAATGATTAATATCAATTTTTTTTTTTACTTGCTCTCATTGTTTCTTACTTTTGATCATTTTACGCTACCTATAGGGTCTATACTTTTGTTTTTAAATAAACCATACTTAATACAGAGTGAAAGAATGTCGCATGGAATGGGAATGGACATAATAAGGCTGGAATCATATTCAATGGAAACTGCCACATTTGAACTAAACACCCACTCAATGTATCATAACAACTATAAATCATATAAAATATCGCAATATTAGTTTTAAGCTTTATGATGATTGTCAAGGTCATTTTACATCACTTAAATCAACATAGCTGAGTTATTGTTACAGAAGGATTTATGAAGTAGATAATAATCTGTAAATCAACAAATAAATTACACATTAAACCATATTGTCTTAGTCATTGATCAGCCTATTAACTAACTCAACCTCATTCATTCACCGTTTTCTTCTTATTTTACAAAATATCCGAGAACATAAGAGAATTAGTAGCCTAAATTTGCTATCAAAATATGCAAAAGTAATTGTTCGAAATGTAAAAGTTTAACGTTAATATCAGGGCAAAAATAAAAGCCTATATATTAAATAATCAATTTATCTCCCAAATATTGTTTGAAGTTAAAGCAATAGGTCATTGAATCACTTCAAATTCAAGATTATATAGGTACATAAACTTACTAAATTTCGTAAACAAATTGTTTTTAACAAATGCCACTTGAAAAATATTATATTCAGAATTTATTTGATAAATATAAAAGCTTTACGTAGTAATGGTTAAGCAACAATAATTGGCATAACGATTTCCAAATAATATTACAACCTAAAGTTGTGAAGGGACAAAAATACTCGATAGTAGAAGATGAATCTTTCGTGGTTGGCAAATCGTTCTATTTGTAGATTGGCGAATCACGTTAATGGAAAGCTCTAGTGGGCACTTATGACTATTCATCAAACGGGATTTTGAAATGTGGCTATATTAATAGAATATGTGTATGAATTCAACATTGGATATTACATCAAGGGAAGATTCCAGTGCTGGAGTAATGTAAAATGATATTCAAAATTTTCAACTTGACACTGCATAATTTTGTGTTATATTTGTTCAATAATGGGTTGATTTATATTTAATTTTGTCATAAACATTAGTTTTATTGGTGTAAATATTGGGTGTCACATATACTGTTAAGATTAAGATTAAGTGATGTTAATATGCAGTGTTGTTATTATTTTCGGCAGATTTCAGGTCTTCAGTTTTCTTAATAATAAGGCTAAAAATTAATTATGTTAACTAAACCACTGTAATACTTGAGGTTTTTTTTTATAAAGCTAATGTATTTAAATGAAAATTATTTTAATGCAGAGTTTGATTTTGATTTTTAAATCAATAAAACTAATTAAAAACTGTACACGGTCACCCCCAAGCATGTTCCTTGTTCCTTTCAAAAAGCAATTTATGAATTCAGAAATCAAGACATATATCGTCCTGTTTCCCGTTTTTAAGTGCATAAGTTGATAGGAGAGTATTTGATTGGATTTATTTTATAGGAGTCTAAAAACATAATAAAATATTTCATTATGTTTTTGACTTAGTTAATGCTTTTTTTGTTAGTTTTCGCCGAATAAACTACTTATGACTTATTTGTTGCCTTTGTAGGATTTTAAAACCGTCCAAACTGCAGAACTTAGGTTATCATTATAAGATGTAACTGTCAAGCAAAGCATATGACACATTTATAGGAAATGAAATAGCTTATTTACTTTTCTTGGCGTAGAAACACAAATAGCTTATTATTTTCTCTTCTAGAAAATGATTTAGTAATAATCAAAACTAACGTAAATTGACAACGAGCGAATGGTCATTTTCATGGCTAGACAATGTTACACAGTCCAAACTCACGAGTCAGCGAATTTTTTTTAAATCGTTTAAGAAAAAAGTTGACGACAAAAAAATACTGAAAGAATCACCTCCAGTAGAATATTGATTTCTTTTATCGCGTTTTATGAATGGAAACTGATTGTCGATTAGCACAGCCACTGCAACAGTCGTTGAGAAGTGAAAGCTGCAAATTGTTGCAGTGTTATATTGAATGAGAATTTTCCTACCTGACCTCTATTAATATAATGATAGTTAAATTATTATTAAAATTAAAATTAGGGACTGTTAGTTTATAACTATTAAACTCCAGATTTATTAAAAAAAACAGAGAGTTTATGCAAATATTTATATAGCTAATTTATTGTTTTTTCTCTCAAATGGTAGTATATATGTATCTGAATTCATGTTAAGGACAGACTATAAAGTTAAAGTCAGAGTGTACATTAATGGTGGTTTTCAGCACATCTTATTATAGCACTAAAATGCTGATCAAAAAGTAATTTAGGTCTATTTATAATAAAATATAATTAGCCAATTTTAGTGTAGTTTTGTGCTATACTGTATAGAACGAAGCAAAATTCATAAAACCTATTTAAAAAGTAACTTACAGTACTAATTTGATGGTAGCAATAACTATATCCAACAAAATTTGCCAAACATAAAAATACTATGCAAGTACGAAGTAATATTATCTACTCACGAAGGTAGCCGAAGGGCACACAGTAACTTCTTAATTATTCCGTAGTTGGTATATTAACCTCTTTCCCCAAGGCATGTCCAATCAAAGAAATTTAGCTAAATGAAAGGCTATACTATTCAGTCAAGAATATTCATTTATTTCACTCACATCAAAGCTAATCCTCCTTATAACTTTTTTAACTGTAATATTTGTAAGATAATAACCACGATCGTTTGTTGCAGAGCTCCCTGACCAAGTGCCTGGGTCGCGACCGCCTCCACAGGTCCGGGGAGTTGGCTAGCAGCGGAGGCGGTGGAGGTGGCAGTCTCGGCGCAGGTAGGTTCCACTTTGGTCGGTGTTCTTCCAGGAACCACAACAACAACAACAGCCTGAGCAGCGGCAACAGCAGCTACGTTGACCCCGGGACGGACCTCAGTAAGAGGCCACTCGTGGTGAGCTTCCGAAGAAGAAGTGTCAGAACCTCAACGAGCTCTCTACCACCGACCACCCAACCGGCACCTCCGTATCTTCTGAACGTCCCAGAACTCAGTGTAAGCTCAGGGGACGACAGCCAGTGTCCTGTGCCGTGTCCTCGCCTCACCTCCACCCCTGTCCCCCGCAACCCCCGCATAGAGGACATCGAGATCTTCCAGGAGTGCCAACTGAAGATACAAAGGTCGGTTAAGCGACACAAGGACTCCAGCAAGTCCTGCTCTGTCATCCGTCCTGAGAAGAGCAAGTTCCATCCTGTCGACCAGGATCCGCTCAGATATGTTCACAAGTCCTTTACTGTGCCGTGCTTGGTGCTCCACTGAATATATAGTAACCACACACTTTTTCTTACGAAGATTTCCCATCTATATAAACCAGCTGTAAGAGGTTTTCTATTCAAAGAGAGCATATTGAGCCAATTGCAGAGAACGTTGATGTAAAAATTCAAGTTCCTCCTTTATTTTCTTTTGGCACTACGATATTTTCATTTTTTGTCGATGCTGTATACAAGAAGTTCACCATTCAATTTGGTTTGTGAACTCAACTTTAAATCAGTAATCTATATTTTTTTTATTGTTTTAGAAAGAAGTTGGTGGCCTCTTTTAACCTTGCTGCCCGTCCACATGGACTTGAACATAGAATTGACATTAGTGTACTCTATGGGGGGCTCAACTCAACTACTTTTGCACTCTAAATTGTCTGTAACTGTAAACATGGGAATGTGATACTCTACATCCCACAGGCAGAGATTGTTGACTAGACTATTTCCTATTCCTAGTCAAAAGTGAAGTAGCTAAGATTTTTTATAGAAATGAATATACGTAAAAAATTAACTAATCTTAATGTTTTTACGTGATCATTGTAGCGAATTTTATGCAAAGATTTTTTGCATATTTAAGAAAAAACTAGTACTGAATTTTTAACACAAACAAACTGATAAACCCGCAACTAATCAATACTTTCATTGTGAATCAGTTTTCAAGAATATTGAACCTTATTCGTAAGCTATTTTGTACGTATGTAGCTATAATTACAGATTGAATAAGCCTATTGTTTAAAGCTTCGAAGCTCAGCGGCTTAACTTTGTGGCCAAAAATTAATTATTTAAGTTAATAACGTTAAAGTTATTGAAATATTCGTTTGTCTCTATCATCAGTACAGTTTAATATTTATTTGCATTAGGCTCACCAGTGACAACATTAAACATTAATTATTACATTACAGTTTTGGGTTTTAAAGAGTTTTTAAGTATTAATGGTAAAATGTTAATAGATAATGTAATTTATTGTCATTTACAAGGTATATCTATGTATAATTTAGCAATTATGTGATTGTTATTCAGGTAAGTAAAAATTAAAATTAAGTAATATAGAAATAATTATTGCTTAAATAAGACTATGTGTGACAAAACTATATGTTTAATGCTGTACCTATTGAAATTCATGTGATATTTAGTGATGTATTGAGGTTATTGTTTTAGAAACTTTTATAATGATGTTTTATAGATGTATTAGAATGTTAAATTAAGTGACTTAAGTAATTCAACTTTTAATATTGTTAGAGTAATTGTTTAATTTACTTATGTATGTATGTCTCAATAAACTCTGCAAATGAGTACAACCGAATAAAATAATAAATTTTCAAGTGCAAATGCTAAATGTATTATCTTAAGAAAATATGAAAGTAACTCACTGTGAACTTATAAGTAAGGGACATATATTTCCTGTTTTGAGAATGATGTTAGTATAAAATATTCATCTGAAACATTCGTTATCATTTAACTATAGTTACAGTATAATATCAACAAGTTAAATTAGTCAATTCAATTTAAATCTTCTAAGTTGCAATGGCCATTTTCAGAATAGACCTGTTTAGTAAAAAAAAAATAAAAAAAAATAAATTAATAAATTATTAGTTACTTTTTCTATGAAATATGTTTGAATATAGTTTTGGTATCACTATTATCTTTGCATACTAGAAATAAATATTCAATCGGTTGTGATAAAAAATCTTTAGAAATAATTACAGTATGTAGAATTTCTTAAATGACATTTTGTGAGGTTCTTTATACATTGGCTATCGAACAAAATCGTGTAAGAGATTGTTTTCAAAATATGGTAATCTAGAGCTAAAAAACAACTTATTTATATATACATCGTTTAGTTTAAAACCGTAAATTGGATTGTTTATAACTTACTTTGAGTTTTAAATATACAGTGATGTATAGGTGTTCTCTGTTCCAGAGGAAATCACAAAAATCGGGGTAAAAATGCACAGCATCACGATGAAATGGAAAAGCCCGAAGAAAATCAAAGAGACGGTCCTTTGAGGAGGTATGAATGTTATAAAAGTCCTCGAGAGAGATTGTGTTGTTGCCTCCATGTTACGGACTGTGTCTAAGTCCTTATTGGGCCTAACTGTTTACACATGATTGTTCGTAAGTCTATTTATATACTAAATAAAGTGTTAGCTTTGTAACGAGTAGTTTTTTTAAGCCCTTCCATTATACAGAGTGTCCATTCAAAATTTCAGGACTCTGGTAAAGTATTCTCATACCATATTCTGCAATACATTATCATACTTAAAGAAAGAAAACAGTTCATTTGAAGGCATGTCTGAAAATTCATATTTACCCAGATATCCGCCATTTTGTTTTTATACGTAAAAGTCTTTATCTGCATCATTATGTAGAAACTTGGTGTGAATATTACAAATGAAAGAAGTCATAAAAATACTAGACATTCCTTCACATAAACTGTTTTTTTTATTTTGGCATGATAATAGGCCCTACATAAACTAATGTCCTGAAAAGTTTCTTATGGACACCCAGTACACTAATTGTTCTATTTCAGTTCTTCTTCCTACATTTACAAGTTTATTATACATTCCAAAAGAGTGTTGAGAAAATATTTATTTTTATATGGCAATTTTATAACGTCATTAAATAATTTCAATGAAGTTAGAGAAAAACATTAGTCTATACTTTAAACAGCAAGACATCTTAACTGTAAACGGTAATTTCATTGTTTGAAAGATTAGTCGTAAGGAAATAACAATTCCACTATATTTAAAGACAATATTTATGATAGATTGCATGTCTTAAAGACTGCATACATATTTTTCTTTTCGTTCAGTCCAACCAAAAAAATATTAAATTCCAATAAATATTAAAGATTAAAAAAAAATCAGTAAATGCAATATTGTAATTGGTTTTTGCAAGATATTTACTAGATTTACCGTAGTATTTTTGGCCAACACAAAAGCCGCTTGCACGTGGAGTGTAACAATGTTTGTCACATCTGACACTTATCCGACACGAAGATCGATGAAAGTATTCACAAGTTGCATACTTTAAACACAGTCTTGGTGTTTTTTTTTGTGTGAAGTACTCAGGAATTCGGTGGTGAGTCGATACTGATAAATAAACACATTGTTAAATCCTTGACGCATTATTAAAATAGCTTAGGAAGAAAGAATATACAAAATTATAAGTAATTTTTAAATATACTCTTCAATAAATTTATCATGGTAACAGAGAAATGCAAAACCAAAACGTATAGCTTTTAGCCATTTAGACCAAATTTCTATGAGCTTTTTATGTTTAGGCTGGTTGGAGATATTGTGTTTTTTTTTAATTTTAATTTTTTGTTTTTACGCCAGTGGCATTTTTAAGTTTTGGAAGGGAATGGTACAAACACTGGTCTTGGTCCTAACGTCGGCCTTTTTGGATTTAAGCACACATTGTGGGTTTACAGTCGGAATCAACTTCAATAATAGTTAATTTATATAAATATTACAATACAAATAATTACTACTTTACTAGCGTCGTACGTGTTATTAAATTGCCTGAAAGCACAAAAATAAGTCAAATAACACCTTGCAAAGTGTTTACAAGTGTTATTTTTGTGCTTTCAGGTATTAATTATTGTGATTTTATACGTGCAATTTAGATCAATTTTGGTGACGTAGGTAGCTGTGAAGTTTAATATTTTAAATCCAAAACTTGAGTGAGATGTAACACGTATGTTTGGAAAATCTGTATTCAAAACAAATCGTAAATCGTAATAAAAATAGTAAAAATAACTAAAAATATTACCCTGCCATATATTTCCAATATAATTCGCATTCTTCCATAATCAGTAAACTGGCAGCTGTATCCAATGTACTTTACGTCAGTTTACGTTTTGATATCAGGATGGTTCAATGTTTCTGAAATGTATAAACTTGGGTTGTAATCTTGAAAGAAGCAACAATAGCTGTGTTTTATGAGTTTTGATATAGCCATTAGACATCGAGCTATCTTGTATCGGAAAGTAATAATCTCGTAAACATTCCTTCATACGGAAGTTTATGTTGGAGAGCTTAATTCCTCGTAGTTAAGTTGTTACGATGTGCAAGAATTTATCATCATTGTAATATTTCTATGAAACGTCAGAGAAACTTTTTGTAAGATAAAAAAATGGGATGGAACAAATAGAAATTTAAATTGTACCATACTATAAAACTCAGACAAATACTTTTTTTAACATCAACACAATTCTTAACACAATTCAACCATTCAAAATTATTTTAAACAAATTAAGTAACATATTAAACAAGCAATCTGAGTAGAATCATTTTAAAAAAAAATCACTTCTGAAAAAACACGTACTAAACTGAAATAACTTCTTACCCAGAGTGCGTTTTTGAAGTAGTGGAATCGGTTATAACACATCAAAATACCAACGGATCTTAGTTAAGAAAAATACTGTGCCTCGATGTGTGAACCTTTTGTGTAATTGGTTACCAGCCAAAGCTGTAGGTCACCCTGCTAAATATTTAATAAAATATATATTTTTTTAAGAATAACCATTATGGAAATTTTGCTAACCTTCTTTACAAAAAATGTAATAAGATACATTAACTGGAACTTTTTTCATTATATATTTACTATTTAATGACAATGGAACGCTAAAATGTCATTGTTGAATATTGCAATTCAAGATTTAATCTGCACTAAGGCTGCCTAAATTAACACAATACTATTTCCTCTAACAGTCTAAATACAATGATAATCAAGCATTACGCTCTAATGATCATAACACGTTTCAAGATAAAATAAACTCGGTTAATTAGACTGAAAACCTTCCTCGATACAATGGAATATATAGAGGGAAAATTCAAAGTAAGCGTATATATTTACAGTGCATACATTTCAAATTGCGAACCAAATTCGTCATCAAATAATTGTAGCATTCTGTATTGTTATACGTATTATAATAAAACCTACTACTTTAAATATATTACTCCTACCATTGCAAGGAAATGAACACAATACGCTACCCAAAATAGCTCAATGCCGCTCTAGAGTGGAAATGGATAATTCCCAGTCGCTA